CGGGCCATGATGTAAAACTGAATGAATTTAGGAAACCGGCAGTGTGTGTAAACGAAGGTCCTGTGTGTGCAGCCCCAGGAGAAACCGCGGGGTAGAGCCAGGGGCCTGCACTCCCGCCACAGCTACCGGTCCTTATCGGGCCCCTCCTGGGGGCCAGGGGGCAGGTGTGGGGTGGCAGAGACTCCAAACCGGATCCGGTCACTGCTATGAGAAGGAGATGCTACCGCCAACGTGCAGAACCGGGCTGAGGCCACTCGCAGGAAGTGCAAACCCGTAGGAAGCAGAGCGAGCCCCTCCCCCAGCCTGGCAGCCTCCCTGGTGCCCCCGTGGGCGGGGACAGAGGCTGGCGGCCAGTCCACACCTGCATCAGAAAGGAGATGCCCACTACAGGGGTAGCGGCTTAGTAACTGGGCCCATAACTCTGCTCTGTGAACACCAGTGTGGGTGGAGCCCTCCTGTCATCCAGGCATCCAACGCCTCTCCTGGGACAGCCGCCTGTCACCACGTTCACCTGCCTCTGCCGTAGCCAGGCGCTCGGATCCGTTTCCGCCTCTGTGCCCACGTCAGCCGCCTTCCTCATCTGCTGTGCTTTGTGGTCGGCGAGCCCATCTCCCCCGAGGTCCGCTGCCTCCAGACACCGGGGGATGTCTCGTCCCCACGTCCAGGGCCCACCGTCACAGTAGTCACGCTAAAATCCAGCGGGGAGGGGAACCTCGGTTTCTAATTCACACAGACCCGGGGCTGTAGACAAGAGGCTTCGCGTCTCTGATCCTGGCTTTCTTGAGGATGTAAAAAGGAGTAGAACAAATCTGCCCGCAGGGTTGACGTGGGGACTCGCCGGGATGACGCTCCCTCCGGCATCACTGACTCAGCCCAGCCCCTGACCCGGTGTGACATCAGGAGCTGGCGGCCGCAGGTCCTTCCCCTCCCCCCGACCCCATCCTTGGACCTGCAGCCGTGGGAAGGAAGAGAAGGTGCGGCTGTCCGTCCAGCCGGTCAGTGATAAGGAGTCTGAGGGCCGCCTGCTCGCGGTTCCTCCATCGCCTCGTCCGCCGTGTCACGAACAAGCCGGTTTTTCTCCTTCTGCGGGCTGAAGAGCCTCCTGACTCAGGGCTGAATCACGCTCGAGAGCGGTTGCCTGCAGTCAGGGACTCGGAAGCTCGCAGAGCCAAAAAGAACCGTCACAGCAGAAACCGAAAAGGGCCTCAGAAGCAGGTCACAGAGGTGAATGCGAAGGGGACCCTGGCCGAGGCCCCGCCCCCAGCCCCGGCCGGTCCGCCTCCTAGACAAGTTCCTTAAAACTCTCTTAATTGTCCTGCCTTACAATCGTGGCCAACGCGGCAATTAAACCATAAAATCTTTATGAGAATCCACTCAGTAAACGGTCATCACCGGTGTGACCGAAACATCTCAACGCAACTGGGTCGCAAACTCGGACTAGTTTCGTCTCCCAAAAGCTGGTGACAATCCCGTAAGGTTCCGTGACTTTCGGTCATGAGGGGCCTCGTTCTGGTTCCTGAGATGTGGCCTTGTCTATCTTAAAAATTCAATCTCACGTCCCATTGAACTCCCTCCTCCTGACCCCGTGGGCCAGACCCGAGCTGAGGGGATGTGGGGCCGGGAGGAGAGACGCCCACGTCGGCCCCCCTTCCTCCCTCATATCCAGTGCCTCGGGCGGGGACGGGTCTCCCAGGAGAGCCGCCTTTGCCAGATGAGCCTGGTCGGGCTGCTCCTCTGACCAGCTCGTTGGCTCCTTCTGTGTCCCAGATCCCCAGCAGCAACCCCCTTGGGGCTGCGTGTGCTGGTCCCCGCCCCACTTGCCGGCACGGGACACCTGGCTCAGACTCACGGTCTCGCTGGCAGAGGCACCAGCCCCCCACCTCTGTCTTTCCAGATCCTTTCACCCAGTCGGTGGCCCACACAAAAGGCTACTTGATGGACTAAGTCCAGCCGTCTCCAGTGTCCCTCCCAGAATGTCCAGATCCTTGAAGGCAACGCAGTAGGTGTTCAGACCACCCGTCCCCTCGCAGCACCCCAGCTCGCAGCCCCTCCCCCCACGACCCCGAAGACTCTGCTCCGTCCAGTGAAAAGGCGGTGAAGGTCGCACGTGGACACGTGGGCTCCCAACTTGTGGCAACGGGGGTGGGGACACATGGAACGTTCGCTGTCTGCACAGGAGAGGGGAGTGTGGGCGGTCCTGCACCCCTCAGGCCACCCCGGGGACATCGCAGAGACCGCAGGGTGCCCGCTGAGGACACAGCTGCGGCGGCAGCACATGCCAAGGAGACTCTGGAGTGAGGCGTTTGCGGTAAGGTGGACGGACACGTATCGGAAGCTGGAGTTCCCTCGTCACCTGCTGTGAGCCATGAGCGAGGGTGGCGGAGTCATTTCGAGGGGAGAAGAAGGGGGAAGTGGGAGGAGGGAAGACGAAACAGAGAGAGTGACCTGTGGGACACGGCCACGTCGTCCTACAGCGATCGTCCGCTTTTCATAAGCAACGTCGTGACCGGGCGTCTACCACGCAAAGACGACAATCCGAGGACTTAAAAGTCCCCGCACCTGCAGGGTCACAGACGCACTCACGAGCCCGTGGCCTGTCCGTGCTGGGTGGCCTCGGACTCCGGGCCCACCCTCCAGCCGAGCAGCCACCGCTCCTGCTTTCAGAGTTACGCTCTGAGAACGTTTTAATTGAACCTGTTCCACAAAACTGAATCATCCCCGTGCGTTTTGATGGGACACCCTCGGCCTTTCTCTGTGCTCGCCAGCGAATAGCCCAGTGACCGACCGCTGGACCAAGGAAGGGGGCAGAAGCTACGCCCTCGGCGAGGAAGACGCCAGGCTGCCCCCGAGCCTCGCCGGCGGCCGGCCACCTTCACTGCAGTGGCTCGTCCCCCACAGCCCATCGGCACTGACAGCGAACGCCTCCTTGGCAATTCTTTTGTCCATGACATTTTTTCCAAGGAGGAAAGCTCTAGATCTCAAGTTCCGCCATTAAACTCTTGCTGTAGTTTTGAGAGCACCCACATGTCACTAGTTAACGCTTAAGACAGCGGGTCCAGGCCCTTTCCGCGCGGTCAGTGCAGGGAAGGGCGGGGTTCCGCCTGGTTCCAGCCGCCCGTGTGCGGGACGGTTACCTGCTCGGGGGCGCCATCTAGTGGCCAAGAAGGGAAGATGGGCTCCCCAGGCCGATAGCGTCTTCCTGGTCTGGGATTTTATCAGAATCTCAAAACCAAATCTCTGAATGATCAATTCTCCACCATCTAGTTTTCTAAAACCAACCCTCTGAATACATGTTTCCTAGTGACCTATTGTCCCACAGCTTTAAACTGTAACCCAAACAACTTGACGGAACCTTTTCACCACGCGTGGGATGGTGACAGGTCAGGCACCAGCTGAGCGACAGACGTAGGGTTAATTTCGGAGCAGAGGCGGCCTTAACCTGCAAAAATAGAGGTCGTGTGCTTCGCTTACGGGCAAACTCGCCCACCGACATACGACATCAGGCATTCGAGGAGGGCCCGATCGAAATGTGAAACAGTCGTCCGGGGAACTCGTAGCAGCTAAGCTAACATGGTGAGGACGTGCTGCACCTGACAGGTTTGCAGATTTCCTCGAGCCAGCAAGGTGGTAACTCGATGACTCCACATTCAGCAAATCCGTCATCTTGGTACGAGAGGCACGGTGAGCGTATCGGTTGCCGTGGACTGGCTGGTGTCTGTCATTTTGGTGTTAAGACATGCCCATCCAACAGCAGCGGTCACATGACCCAGACCAGAGAAATCATTTCGTGGGATTTCTTAGCGCTGAAGGATTGTAAACAGAATCGGGAACTGATTCAGGAACTGAAATCGGGAACTGAAATCGTCTATCTGTGTTCAGTTTCAGCATGGACAGCTACGAGATAGAAGCGGCTAATTGTCCATGACATAGCGCCCGCGTGTGGCAGCTCCTGAGAAACGCTTGTCAAGTATGGGAAGGAAGGAAGGAAAGAAGGAAGGAAGGAAGGTGGCGCCCGCGTGTGGCAGCTCCTGACAAACACTTGTCAAGCACGGGAAGAAGGAAGGAAGAAAAAGGAAGGAAAGAAGGAAGGAAGGAAGGTGTCTGATTATTTTTCTGCTTTTTTTCTTATTGAGATATCTTAATGGCAATTTCCTATGATCCTGCTTGTTAAAAATGTCCCTCCAGTACCTATTATTTTGCTCTGAGTATGCACGTGTAGATTTTAATCAAAATGATGCCGAGGCGGCCGGCGGGGCGGGTAAGGGTCGCCTCTCCTGGGAGCTGTGAGCATAGCAACTGTCATTCTGATGGTAGCAGTTTCCTGACCTGCGGGACTGACTGCAACTTGGATTATATTGATTATCTATCAATACGGTCTATCCCATCTGCCATGGTGCCCTTAGCATCTCGTGTCCTCCCAACCTACCGAAGCTCGAGTCCAGGGGATGCTCGAGTCCAGGGGAAGCTCGAGTCCAGGGGATGACCGAGGCCTCACCCAGCTGTGCCACGTCTGTAGAAGTAGGGCGTCCAGCAGACACTTCTCAGGACCAGAGGGAGGGCTCCCGATTCACACGCCTCCTCGACCCAGGATCTTGAGAGAGACGTGTCTCAGGCTATGTGTTTCAGAGGTGATGGATTCCCACCGGTCAAGCCCAAGAGCTTTGTCTGAGGCCACGGAAAGTCCGCGGACGTGCGGGAACCCAGGTTCCGCCATCGGGGTGTTACCAACGCTGCCCTGCTCCCCGCCCCAGGAGGTGTTGCAATGAGACTCGTCTGCTGTGGAAACGAG